TTTCCATTTTGGGACGACGTGTCGATCAACGGCCTTGTAGTATGTGCGTCATTCTCTCCTTGCAGGCTGCATATGATATCATAGCTGTCACCGTCTCTCTGTACATATATATACCGACGTTGGCGTCGATGAATCCAAGTTCCCTCTTGCACTCAAACTCCCACATTCCCTCTCTCGCGCAAACCGATCAAGTCATTAGTCTGTCGCAGGTAAGTGTTGAACTTGGCAGACGGATATTACGAGAAAATACGCGCATAGTCATTCGGACTAGCCTCGGGACTCATTCGCTCGGGCATCGTCATTCGGACGTGCATATCGTGACATATCCGGGATTAGACGTCGGACATACTATTGAAGTCATTGATCGTTATCGTTTACGTTCAATTGATCGTGGACTCGTTACGCATATAGTCAGACATTGTGGCCAAATAACATTTTATTACTTTGCAGCTAGCCTCCAACGTCTTCATCACCTTTCAACCATCTTCGAACGTCGACTGTAGACGAAGCTCCCACAGCGGCTCGTTCCGCGTATCTGGGATACGACCAGATGGATTCCAGGTACTGGGTGCCTCGAGATCTAGTATAAGAAAACCTATTTTCTCCCGTTGAGGATCATCGAGTCTAAAGTATATTACCGTAATTATGCTCTGCCATGTTCTTGTTGCCGCTGGCTTGACCTTTCCGGCCGCCTGTGTATTCAACAACGACATTTGTGCGCTGACCGTCAAGATATCTAGATATCCCATGAAATTCTCTCGTCATGACGCGTGACGACGCGCCCCTGATCATTGCAGATGTCCATTCCCGTCGTGGCGATACGCATATCGTCCGCGAACTTCGGTCCAGGAACGGGTTCGGATCCTTTATAATCGAACCGAACCTGCGGTTCAGGCTCAGTTAGGTTCGATCCCTGCATTGCCCAAAGGTTCGGTTCGCGGTTCAGAGCCATCAAGAAATTGCCTGAACCAGGATTAGGTTTGGACCGGTCCGAACCGAGAACCGGAATCAGAATTCAAAGTGCTTCAATGCCTGCAACAGGTACTGAAGCTGAAGGAGTGGTAAGTGTACGTTCACGGAGTTCTCAAGTAATCACTAATTCTTCCATTGGCAGCGGCACCCTCCTGCGCTTCTCCAGCGAAATGCTATGGCGCGCCCATTCCTCACCTCGCATGGAAGCGGCTGCTGACCTAGTACTGTTATCCAGTGGCCAGGACCTGCAGATAAGTCGCATACAACGCACATCAAACACTATTACGAATCCGGACTTCCAAGACCTTGTCATCTAGATATCCGTCTATTCTCCCAGACGCGTGGTATATGGCCTTCACCCTGTACTGGATGATTTTAGCTGAGCGCGCCGCGGCATCTTGCATTTCAATCACATGACATACTGATTGTCCTCTATTGTCGATATCCGTCGATATTTCCTCTCTGAAGCACGCATGAGTACTGCTGCATATAACTTGCCCGTCGTCCTGCTGTGGCATCACACCCGGACATGACAACACTTTCCTCACTCACATCCCTGTGCTCTCTCTCAATGAACATCTATTTTATCCAGCAAAACCACCCATGGTACCCAGAACACTTGGAGGCTATCCCTAGCCAATACTCCTCATTGGCAGATGCTATGATACCGGTAGGTCCTCGATACTTCTCGGCTCGTGCGCTATGCTTGACGCGCCTTTAGCAACGACAGTCTGAGGCCCATACTGCTATCAAACTCATTGAGCAACGGCAATGTGAGACTCGCACGACCTTCCAAGCCCAGGAGCCAGCCGTTTATCATGACGAAGTATACCCTAAAGTATCCGGGTATGCACACCTGCACAGCGACTTTCCCAAGCGTGGAGATGTGCGCACTCCTACCCACAAGAATATGAATATGAACCGCAAGGTCACGTTACGTGTCGACGTACGTGCTGTAGCCAGTGGTTTTCTCCTGTTCGGGCAGCTTAATGACCGCAGTGGTCGTCATATGCAGAGTACAGCAGCAAGAGCTTCGGAGTCAAAAGCAAGAGAGGCGTGAAGGGTTTCAAAAAGCTGGTAAAACATGTCGCCAGAAACATGTTGCAACTCGGGAAGGCCAGTATGCACATCTACTGGTCTCGCCGAGGTTCTTATGCACAACAGCAGCAGCGATCTGGTGGAGTGCAGAGAAAAGCGAGTCTGAGATTCAAGGGTGATCTAGTGACAATTGCGAATCTTCTCCTAAAGCACACAAATAAAAGAAAGGCCTGCAACTTAGTTCTCAGGCTATGACTTTGTATGAATACGTGTAGTCCGAGAGATTCGGAGATCCTCACTGCGCCTAGTTTCTTGGACACTTGTTCCTCGCCTATCCCGGCGAAATCTAAACGGCAACTAATGCCTCATGCTCATCCCCTTGCCGCGCCGTCGCAGGAGGTGAGGACACATTGTGCAATCTCCCGGTCAATACTCGCACGCGCGATTGAGGACAAACGATATGCGCGCTCTTACATGGCACTGGATGAGCTCGATTGAAGTGCGATGATGATACGTGACGTAGTCTCGTACTCGAGTTGCTGGCAGGCTGCTGTACTTGATATTTTCGATCACGATCGCTTTTTGATGATCGAGCTCTTTCCGATCCTCCCCGCGTCAGTGGTTGATTGTCCGGGGTCACAATGTTGCTCTTCTCTGCAAATTTAGGCACTACTCATGGGCCTCGAGTGCTTTCGGGGGCAGTATGCATTTCGGGCGCATCACACTATCTGCAGTCTGAGTCAGGGACGACCTCACCATCAGCTAATTTGCCATTATGACAGCATACTGCCAAGTACGTGTTTTAAGCACCGCTAGACTCTCCATTGCGCATATCTGTGCAGTTTTCATTCGAACCTCACCACTTGTGACTAACCTAGCGTGGCTTTGTCCAGATAGATGTGAGGTCGAGTGAGCGAAAGCGACCTGCAGTCATGTATTCTATCTACATCGCTGAATCAGGCCTCGTCGCCGTTAGCGCACTTGTCCCGGGTTTGCAGGCGAGTCGGCCCGGATGCCTCAACGAACCTACACATAATGATGTGTGAGGCACCGCGGTATGACTTTCAAAATACCGTCAAGCATACATACATTTTTCCGGATTTTGCGTTGTGCACTTACCGACCCAACGAAGAGTCACGGTGGTTCTACCCGTCTTCTGGCGGTGCTATCTACGGTGGCGTCGGATATGAGGTATGTTCACTCTTCCTAGCTTGTGAATCAACCAAGGACAACACAGCCCCAAGTGTCAGGCCACGCGGTCTGCCGCCCCTCATGGGCCCTCCGAGAGACACAGAAGTCGATTCTAACGATGGAACGTGCCGTCACACGCGGCTCACGAGTTTGTAAAATGTATAGGCGCACATTGTCGCTATCCCAATTTGGCCTCTGGATGCCACTCGGACCCAGTTGGACCCATTGTTCTGCGAGTTCAGACTCCGCGAACCTCATGTCCTTGTTCCGTTCATAGACATCCATCACATTTCGCATCACCGCCATCAGCGGGTAAACAGAGAGCCGGAGGGCCAAGGCCCGCGACTTGCCGCCTCATGGGTCGAACAGACCTTCGTCCGAGAGTATAAAACGACCCGCATTTCTGCGCCCTTCCTCATCTCTCTCCCTCACCACTCCTCCGTGTCAGTGTTTCCGCTGTCCTTCAACACTCCTCAATTATACCCAAGACCTCAAGTCGTCCGAGTTATCGCTAAGCTATTTGACATTTGTTGTCTGCTCTTGCATGTTCTTCCGTTGTGGCTGCTGTCTCATCTTTGCCTGTCATCTTATTTTGTATAACTCCTTTTCATGTGTTATCGTTCTCACTATGTTGCTCGCTCATTTGTTTTCCTTTCTTTTCTCATGTCTCGTCTCTGCGCCACACTGTCGACCTGGTCCAAGCCACAAGCCTGTTCTCGACCTCTGGCAACCTCGTGCTTCGGTCTACGACATCTGCCTCTCCTGTGCTTGACTCACATACTCTCTGGGCAGGGTGCTTCCGCCTGTTCGCCACACCTTCTCTCTGCTCTGGCTTGTCTCCTCAAAGTCGGCTCCAAGACTCCATACTGTGGCGGTGTGCTGCGTCGAGGTAAGCCAGTCGCCACACATATCACACACCGAGTCCTGACATTCGCCACAATTTCAAGGCGGCGGTGAGTTCCCATCAAGGAGACTACATGCTAGGCAACAAATTCAACAGACGTGGCTGTCCCAGGCTGGATGTAGAGGTACAGGCCTCGGTAAGTGCTCGAACTGTGTCAAACGGGACGACTCATCTGATGCTTGACATCTCAGGCGTCTTCTGGAAATAACTGGCTACTCGTCTACTTCTACTTCTGGCCGCCGCTTGACTGTCTGCCTGGTCGCCTGACTGTCGCCCTTCTCGCCTCGTCTCTGTGCTTGGCTGCTCTGAGCCTGCTCTACGCTGTCGGCATGCACGATCGCTCTGGGCTTCGGCGATTGGCTTCTCCGCTCCCTCCCGACTCCATTAGTGGCTGGCTGAATGCGATGGATTTCTTATGTGCTGCCGACATTCCTCATCTGCTTCTTCTGCTTCTTCTTTCTCGCTGCTTTACTGTGTAGCTTTCTCCTGGCTATCCTATGGCTGGTCATTGTACTCGATCTTGGCTAACACTTTCACATACGTTTTATACCCGCACGTTAACGGTGAGCGGTGTTTTTTTTCACTACATATCTCCAATATTACTCGCCATATCCAGGTCTGAAAAGCTCGACCCATATAAACTCGACAGTCCTCAACATGAACAAACGGCGAGTTTCATTGTTTGTTAAGTACACTAATCCTGCATATAGGCGTTTGGTTCTATCCATCTGTCGCCTGTGCCAAGCCAAGGCGACGGCACAAGGTATTCTTGGCTGTTGCGCCTTTCTCGCTAAATGCTTTGCCCACAGTTTCTTCAATTGCATTCAAAGACGCATCCACACTTTCCGTCGATCAATACGTCGGCCCGTCGCCGTCAAAGTGAGCTTGCTGTGGATCTTTCCAATGACTCCGCAAGTTTGAATGTTTTCGCTTGCTAGGATCGTGTCCTCCCTTCTCCCCCTCCGTATGTCCTCACGTCTCCGCTGCCGTCCGCTTCCTCGATCGTCCTCCAGCTCCCGCCTTGTCAAGTCTCTCATCGAGTCTCCTATCAGCACACTGCCGACCCATGAAACGGTCGTACGAACGTAGCAAGGTGAGTCCCCCGAGGGAAGGGCGAACATTCTTGTTCGTCCTGGCGCAGACCTTTCCGTGGTCCTCGGGATAAGTACTCTCCGGCTCAAGGAAAGCGAATCAGCGCCCAGTACATATATCATGTATTGGGTCCTGATACGCCGTCGGTAGGGGAAACCAACATGCGCCTGAAAGTCATATCTCAATCGTCGTTACTATGTCACCAATCGTCTAGCACATGCATCACCTTCGTTACCTTGGTAAGTCGCCATGAACTGTTTCTTTCATGGTGGTCTATTCGCTGCTTGCAATCCCGCTGTAGAAGTGCCGCTCTCGGCTGGATGTATATATGCATGAATATTTACCTACAAACCGCTGAGACGATTGACACTCGATTCTACACGTCTCCCATATCGCCTTCAGCATCCTCTCAACATGGCTTATATGTGGTCATCATTGGCCAGCACCAGTATTCCTACTTGTATCTCGCTGGGTTGTGATGACATACCACGTGTTGTCGTCATGGCCAATCACGGTAAAACTCAAATATCCACCAAATAGACAGCATAATGTCATGAAGACGTCTAGAATGACCAGAAGGGCTCGCTGCATAGTGTCGCTTGTTCGAGCCCGCGTCTCGACGCCGCATACTCACATGAACATAGCGATCGATGGCGACTTTACAGCAAGAGCGCTCCGTCATGTGCCGCAAAGCTCACAAAGGTCGCTTCTGCCATCCAAAAACCCATCTGTTGCAATGTCAAATGGATGGCACAGCTTGGTTGGCATTAGTTAATGTTGCATTGCTGCCACCGGTGGTGAGACCTGTGATCTGAAGATGTCAGACCCACTGCATGCAGGAATCAATTTTCTTGCACAGAACATTGAATCAAAATTGGATAAGAAGCGAATAGCACTTATTTAATCCTATTGATGTAGAAATTGAACGGAAATTGAATGGAAATTGAAGATAAATTCAAAGAGACAATGGAAAATGGATTACATAATCTATTTTTCTTCGATTTCATTTCTGTTTTAGGCGCCAGAATACTGATTAGGTAAATTCACTTTTCCTTCAATTTCTATTTGATTTTTTGTACCAGAAAATCGAATACCGCATGCAGTGACCGAGTTCTGCGATTGCTACTGAACCCCCCACTGAAACACTTCGAGCACGGAGGGGAACATGATTCTGCGAGCTCTATGGGTTCGCCAGCACCCCCTACCTCAAGTATGGTCCCATTCAGAGTAGCGCGGCTCATTTCCCGATATGGCGGTTGATCAGATGGCCTCGTCTTCGCACGACGCATTCAACTAGACGCCTCCCCCTTTCAATTGGCCGTGGCTTCTGTCTATTGTGCTCTTCGCAAATCACATCTCTGAATCGGGAATATGCTGTCTGTCCACTACTCTATATGGTCATGCTAGTGAATTATCAGCTTCATTGCCCAATGTCGCGTTGCCAATGGACTGGTTATGGATACGCTACTGAAGTGCTCTGGGATCTTCAGTATCAGTCCTTTATGAATGCTCAATAATACATACCCGACTGGGGCCTTGGGCTGCCTGCGCCATATCATCCGCGCTGTTTACTTCCGGTAGAATGCAATCTCCGTCAGCCTCGACCTTGGTCAGTCAGCCACCGATTTTCTTTCCTCTTCGCTCCTTCCAGTCTCGGACCAGCAACACATGCGTTGTCATAATGTTTCCCGTGTACAGACATGTGCTGGGTTTTGCATATCCTACGGATGCGTAGAACCACCTGCCGTGTGACCTGTCGCGACGTACATGGTATCTCGATGTTGTCAGTTGGTCTCCTAGACGCTTCTAACAATGCACTCCTCTCTCACCGATAATACAGTGGTAGTTTTCGACTTCCTCACCAAGTACTAGCACGCTTGGTGATTAAGGTTCCGACTGCTGTGGATAGCCAACCAAAGTCCTGATAGCGTACTCGCCCTAAGATGCAGGGACTATAAAGAGGCCAACCGACGCTCGGTTGACCTCAGCACCAGCACATCGCTACTTCACATTGCTCCATCATGTCTACCACTGGCGCGTTCAATACCGGAGAGGTTCGCCCCTGGAACAAACCCCAACTCCTAACCTCTCGCGACATCGCCTTCGATAAACCCTTCGTCGCAGCTCCACAGCTCCCCATAGGCCTTAACTGGCTCGACATCGACGCCAACGCCGACATTCGTGTCAAGGCCTATGCCACGAACATCACCAAGGAGTCGTTCACCGCTCACATCGACTCCTGGAGCGATACTACCTTCTACTCTGGTGGCGCTAATTGGCCAATCATCACCCCTGCTCACCTCGAATACCAGTGTGGTCAGTTCTCCACCGAGGAGGACCACCCCTGGGACAAACCTCAGACTACCACTCAACGTCGCATCAGCTTCTCGCGTCCCTTCGTCACCCCTCCCAAGGTGATTTGCTTCTTCAACCAAGTCGACATCGACAAGAACCACAATTGGAGGGCTAAGACCTACGTCTCCGATGTCGATGCCACAGGCTTCACCATCCATATTGACACTTGGTTTGATACCATCCTCTACTCTGCCACCGCCGGATGGGTCGCCTACCCCGAGGACCGCGAGTATGTCTTCAGCGGCACCGCGAACACGATGGACGTCCGTCCTTGGGAAAAGCCTCAGCTCGAGAACAGTGCCCAGGTTAAGGTTCCGTTCGACTTCTGGAAGGTGAGAGCCTCTTGCTTTTCCACCATGGGAACGTCTGACCTGAAGAGATATTGTTTACGAAGGTGCCCAAGGTCTTCATGGCTATAAATCAGTTCGACATTGAGTGCGGCCACAATCTGCGCCTCAAGGTCCATGCAGACAACGTTACGGCCAATGGGTTCACCTGGCATATCGACAGTTGGAATGACACAGTCCAGTACAGCGCTGGGTTTTCCTACCTCTGCGTCGTCTAAGGTGCGCTTTCGATAAATTCGTCCACCCTGGAATGATAGACTTACACTCTCCGTTCAACAGGTGTTAGCTACGCTTCGCGTACATACAATTTACACTACGATGAGATCCTGTTTTTGCATACTAAATGTCTTCCCTCGATTGCCATACTTGATTTGTACCTTGCATTTGCGAAATGGGATATTGGCGGTTGACTAAATTCTGCCCTTGTGAACGTTTGCGACTAAGCTTCACTTGACATACGACGTTGGTGTTTATTTTATGTATCTATACAACAGCGACTCAGTATAGCGATATACATACAGGGTGGCAAAGCACAATATGCTCAAACAGGATAGAATGAGAGGTCCGTACCACGCCTCATGCGTAGGATCATCACATACAGACACAATACAGGTGGATGCTGGCTACACAATGTTCCCAGCGACGGCTTCATACGGTGGGGGAGGCGTCTCGGAACGAGGAGCGATCTCCAGCGACGGAGGGGGGTTGGAGGGCGGCGATTCATAGCTTGGACTTCGAGATTGACTCGGTGGAGGCGATCGCAAGGACGGTGGAACCAACGAGGGCGGGAGCGTACTGGGGATCTCGGCACCACGTGTCCGCTTCAGTATCAGATGCATCGCGACCGCGAACTCATCCCGCGTGAGCTTGCCGTCGTGATTGATATCAGCGAGGTCCCTGAAACCACGTGAGATCAGTATGAGACTTGGCATGTCTGCTCTGCACATACCAGATCGCAGCCATGTCGTTGTCCGGCAGCTGAGACTTCGAGAAAAAAGGGACGGCGGCTGCTCCCTCAATGTAGCCCCTCTTCCAAGGATCGAGAGTATCGAAGAATTTGTCGAACCGCGCCTTCGACACGGGGTTGATAGCCCATCCTCCCGGATGATCTGAGCCCGACGATGACATCGAAGGTTCAGGCGTGAGCCGCGAAGGTGACACATAGAACGGAGAGGGTGGCACTGATGTGCCCGTTGTCTCGGGTGGGCGTGACTGTGTGTCTATCGCAAATCTAGACGAGGCAGCACCAACGTCAGTTGACGATGTTGAGGACTCCGCAAGCGGCGCGTCAACTGGTGCATCGAAGTCTATGAGCTATGCAAATGTCAGTAAATATGACGAGCACGAGACACAGTGATAATAGCTTACCGAGCTCTTGATCTGGCGTCGACGTTGCGAGGAACTGGAACTGGCGACAGGGGGTACATCATTGTGCAATGTTGATGTAGACGAAGCACCTGGTAGCGCTTCGCCCGCCTTGTTCATGTCGACGAGCGTCATGGCCTTGGCGAACTCATTCCGCGTGAGGTAGCCTTTCTTGTCAAAATCCGCCAAGACCCTATGCATGGCGTTAGTCCAAATGGGGCGTGGATTGGTAGAACATCACCGACATGATGTGATTGGAGACATCCATGGACAAACCCAACTTCAGCATGAAGGAAACAACAACGTATCCCTGTGCCTGACCCGTGCTTTTGGCATCCAGCGTATCGAAGATACGATCTGCATGTGCCTTAGTCTCCGTGGGTACTACAAGTCCCTCTATGGGGCTTGTGGCTGGCGATGATGCACTACGAGAACGACCTAGCTGTGGACTGCCGTTGGAATGGTCAGATATCCCGCTATGCACTTGACCGTGTGCTTGCTCATATATTTCCGTAGGGAGAAAATCCGGGATGGACGTAAGTTGCCTATTCATGCAAGCCTGGACAAGGTACATGGCAACGATAAAGTCACCAACGTCGAGGACGCCACGGCGTTGGATGTCTGCTAGATCCCTGTAACGAGGAGGATACAGCGGGTTAACGTATGTCATGCTGGGATTATAGAGCACATACCATATCTGCGACAGCGTCGCGGGTGGCAATCTCGACTTCAGCAGTAAGTCTCGGACTCGCTTGCCTATCAAAGAGGTTGAGACGGCTCAAGTGTAAAGATGTTGAACGCCACATACCGCTCAAGGCACCATTCTGAGGGTTGTTTCCGAGGAAGATCTTCGAGAACTTGGATCTATCCTGAGACGTAAGTGGAGGAAGATTGCTGCCAAAATCTGCCTTGACTGATCCCCATTGAGCGTCGTGTTCCGTTTGGGATCTTTGTGCTTGAGACGCCTCAGGTCCTTGTTCGATGCTGTGCGATTGCACAGGACGTTTCCCAGCCTTGATAATATCGTACTGATGCAACACTTTGTTCACCTCCTCGACGGCCTGCAAGAGCTCGCCCAGAAGATCACCCTCTGCTTCTGTCGTAGCCCAAGGAACCTTGTCCAAGATTTGCCTCTGGGAAGCTTGACAGTTGGTGTAGAACTCCTGAAATTCGAACATGAGTACGTACAATCCCGATTGAGTTGAAAATGGTATCCATACCTGAATAAGTTCTCCATTGAGATCGCTCGGCATAGCATGGGCCAGCGCTTCCTGCAGAACCTCGGCGTTACCGCGGGCATTGCGACATAGTTCAGCAACACTTTGTGGGTCATGTCTTGACCCAGCACTAGACGTTGACGCTTGTAGTTCGCCTGCAGTCACAGTACCATCCCGCACCAGATCATCATACATCTTGAGGGCTTGCGTGAGTGCATTATCCGTCTTCAGCAGACTCTCCAGGAGCTGCTCCTCCCGAGTGGACGTCGAGCAATGCGAATTCTGCCGAGACCGGGCAGCCTCAACATCTGCCCAGCGGATCTGTTCGAAGATCTCGTTTTGAGAGTCTTTGCATGCCTTCAAGAATTCCTGTCATTATATTTAGAATCAATCATATCATGTACCTTACGCCGCTGCAAACGTACTTGTATAAGCGGACCTTCGACATCCGCAGGCTGCGCTTTCACAAGGAGATCACGCAACAGGTCGGCGTTTCCCAGTCCTGTTTGAGAAAGCACGAACAGTCTTTCGAGTTCGCTGCGCTGGGTCGATGTCGAGGATTCAGGTTGTTGCGATCCGTTCCGCCGCGAAGATGCGTCATCCAAGGACAAACCGCTCATGCCAGAGGTGGCCAACATACGGAGCTATCAGATTCTTTGAGTAACGACTTCTCCGGAGCAATGTCGGTGAAACACACAGCATGCTCATCCTTGACGCGTTGCTGTGCTTGTTGGTTATAGCCAACGCGGATAAGGTCGTCATACAGCTGTAGCACCGAGAGCAATTGTCCGTCGACTGCTAGCAATTCCTTGACGTAAACACTTGCAGCAGCCCCGTTCGGGCCACGACGTTTCCTGGCTTCTGCTGCTACCCATGGCATCTGCGCATGAATGACGTCGAGTGATGTACGACATTTTGAGCGGAATTCCTGAGCGAAGCGCCACGGTCATTCAAGTGGCCCGGTACCGTGCATCGCGGGATGCGCACCTGAACAATATCTGACCTGAGGTCTCGCGGACTCTCTGAGTTCACAAGCGAATCGTGCAGCAAGTCCGCGTTGCCTCTGGCCGTCTTGATGAGCAACGACACCTTCTTGAGCATGTCGGACCCTGATGGTGGCGCGCCATTAGGCGGGCGATACGGCAAAGACGGCAATTCATCGTGCTTGATTATCATTTCTCGTCGAGGATGGGGTGTCTACGTAGTGGAATGTTCGCACACCGAAGTGATGACAACAGATGTCGAAGAGAGGCCGACTCACCGTCGAAACACAAATCAAGTCGAGAATGCTGTACAGATCACGCCTAACGGGGATGCGTGTGGCGTTGTGTGGTCTACGCGCAAAGACAAAACGCAGAGCTTTGACCGCTCCACTTTCTGGTGGTTGGGGCTTGGAGCTCTCGGGAGGTTGTATACTTGATAACTCCGCAGCGCGGCCGGTCAATTCAGGAATGTGACACACTGCCACTGCCTACCGCAGCATACTGTGCCGAGTTCGATGAACTTGCGATGAACAGTCAGAATAAACTTCATCGCCGGATCCCGCAGTAAACTCGGTACAATCCGTACCGCATGTGGCTTAGTTTGCGGTCCTCCTGTCACATGTGGACATGTATGGATGCACTCCGCCAACAAACATCGACATGTTTGGCGGAAGGATAGGCAAATACTCCGCTTCACTGGAAGTCAAAGTGTATACGGGACAATGCTGTTTCCTGATGCCATCCTGACACCTATACAATCATGTACCACGCGAAATTTTGCCAACAACAGTCCGGAAACACTTGGAAATAATGCTCCGTGTGGTCACAGCCATTGTAAGACAGCCGCGGTGCTGCTTGATACGCTCATGGTCGAAAATTGTCGCTTTAACGGGCAAGTAGGTTATGCTGCACGCGAGTGAGTAAAAGAATGTCTGTAATAATTCAATAACGAAAGCGGAAAGGGTCATTACAATTCGAGTAAATCAGATTAGAAGGTAAATAACAGAGACGCTAGTAAGGATAACTCCGACTGATACTTTTCCACTGATCTGCTCATTGTCCTCACCCACCATCTTCGACCGCTATTTCGACTTTACGAGTGCTTTCACGACCCCTTTCCCTCACCATCCTTGCCAGCAATCGCTAGTTTTGCGCTATGACCAGCTCACCGTCGACCCCGGACATCTCCACCTTGTCGCTCACTTCCCAGCCCTCCCAGCAACGTCTTCACGATACTTACGACTATGAAGGCGGCGGCAATGGCAAAAGTCCCTACCACTATCAAACCTCTCCGCCTATCCCAGCCCAGTCCCAGTACAACCCACTCGGGGGCCTGGGCCAGTCCCCGCTCAAGAGCAGGCCAGTCCTGCGCGGTGGTCTTCCATCCGTAAGTGTATGTGCTGGCTTGCGCCGACCAAGGCTGATCAATGCACAGCAATGGCTCGACAATGGCGCGAACATGACGGATAACCGCTCTCTGTCCCCTAACAACAATTCTGACCTGTCCTCTTCCGGGGGATCTCCGCCCCCCGTGGGTAACATGATAGCCCCACCTATCACGCCTGGCACGCCGATTCAAGGTGGAGACGACGAGATAATCCCCACAGCCATAGTCATCAAGAACATACCGTTCAATGTAAAGCGCGAGACGCTCCTGGACATTATCGTGAGTGCTGTCCCCATTACAGTTGGTTCTATGACAATCTTCTGGATGGATCCCTTTCTTCATGATCGAGGCTGGAGCTTTGTGAAAAGCCGTGAGCAACCTCGAGGCAAGCTCGCACCGGCTCAGTGACCCGCGTCTCGGATGACCTTCTACTTCGAGTTGTCTGCGGGCTACCTATTGTGATGCGCTCTTCCACCTGACACAACCCTTGTAGGCATCGTTGTCGATCCCGACGCCGTACGCGTTCAACTATCATCTGGACCAGTCGGGCCAATTCAGAGGACTTGCATTTGCCAACTTCCGACAACCGGCGGATGCAGATGCTGTGGTAGCTGCGTTGAACGGGTTCGACGTACAGGGCCGAAAGTTGCGGGTGGAATATAAGAAGGTGCTGCAAGCCGGTGAGAAAGAGCGGATCGAGCGCGAGAAAGCGATTCGGCGCATGAAGTCGATGCAGCTGGAAAAGGAGCAGGCCATGGCACATCAAGTCGGCTCACCCTACGACGAGTTCGGGCAGATGATACCCCCGCCGCCGTTTACGCCGCAACGATCGTTCTCCGCGTCAAGCGTGTACCAGAACCAGGTGGGGACGCCATTCTCGCCGGCATCACAGATGGCGCCGCCGATGCCGACCCCGCCCCCATTCAACATGGCAACCCCGCCGCTGCCGCCCGCGACGCCTGGTGGGCTCAAATCGCCGTCGACAGAGCTCGATCTGAACGACCCGTCGACGCTGGAGATCTACTCGCGCATCCTGCTCTTCAAGGACGACCGCATGCGGGACGAGCTCGCGTTCTCGCGCACGCTATCGCCGAAGCAGCGTCGCGTGGTACATCTCGTCGCACAAAAGTTGGGCGTGTACCACTACTCGGTCGGCGAAGGAGAAGAGAGATATGCGGTTGTGACACGCATTGACCCCAATCCAGTACGCTGTCGTTTCAGCATGCACTGCGCGCTGTATTGATCGCGATCTGATCAGGGACAGGGCCCGCGCCAGACACTCACGCGTGCGCCGTCTTCGTATCTTTCTCCCACATCACCGCAGCTCCCGAACTCCTTGCGCGTGAAGAAGTCCATGCCGGACATGAAGTCGCTACAGTCGCAGACGCCGCGTCTCACGACCCGCGCGTCAAACGGAAACATTCGCGAGGGCTATGCTACTATTGCCTCTCCGTCTCGTCGCTCTCCTGGTGGTTTTGCTGCCTTATTCGCCAATGGTGGCGGGTTTGGCAATGGCGTGCCCCCTGTCCCCAGCCTCCCTACCAACCTCATCGGCGGTGGCGGCGGCGGCATGGACAGCCCCACTGGAGTTGTGAGACAGCCTCGCGGACCGGGCAACGGGGGCTTCGAGTCCCGGCGCGAGAGGCGCGAGAGCCAGACTCAGCGAGGCGGCTTTGAGGCCCGCTCTCACGAACCCCTGGAAATTTGAAGACAAGGAACAAGCATATTATCGATACTTTTGTGCAAGACCAAGGGGGACGGACTGTGCTGCTCTCGTTTTATCTGGTATCATGATACACTCGTCACTCGTTTCTTCCCATGCAGTTTCGTCTTCCTTCCGTCCCTTTCCAGCCCATTTCAAGACCTGACATAATTGGCCCCTTTACGCCTCTCCCATAATCGCGCCAGTGACCTCTCCGTGCTGTGCACTGCTGGCCTACGCTGCCGTATGCCCCCCATTGCCCTACTTACATCCCTGTCATGGTCCCATATCGTTCATAGTTCTGCACTTTGCTTGAATTCCCGTATCTGCCTTTTTTGAAGTATCCTACGCCTGGTTGTACGTTGAGCACAGATTTAGAACAAGCGAAGGCTGTATATATTGGATCGAGGATACTCATATCTGTGCTGCGATGTCGAAGACGCGTGACTACTTCGCGTCTCAGGGCGTCTGATTCTCAGTGCGCTTGACTTGCTTTCGCGCGTTCAGTTGCGTGGCAGTCGTGCTGAGCTGCTTTCATTCCACCGTCCTTTATATAATCCTGGCGTATAAAATGCCTGGAGGCACCATCGTACGCGCCGCGTTTTTCGCTGTCGGTGCGCTTGTCGGTGGTGGTGTCGCCACCGCAGTCGCGGTATCCAAACGTCAAGTCCCTGCATCCACGCCTGCTAGCACGCCATCTACTCAACCTGTCCTTGACGTAAAGGGAGGGAATGTAACACAGATCACCAGCCCGAGCCCAGTGACTGTGCTCCCGCCGGTGCTGAGGTACGGCAGTCCTGGTACGTGCGTACGAGCTGGAGAGTGGCCAGACACTTAAATGCTTCCCGCTTTTACACAGGTCCTGTATCCGACCAGCTGGTACACGTCGCATACGTTGCTGGCTATGACCGTCGCCTACGACACCCAGCTTGGGTACGCATGTTCATCCATTTGCCCGCGGAGTCACTCAAGCAGCGTGAAGACAGCAGAACACTTGACACTCGCCTCGCTGGGAAAATATGTGCGGGAAGGCGCATCTCCAGCCAGCGAAGCGGGCGACCGGTCGAACTCGCAATTCAAGGAGGACCAGTCCATCCCTGCGCTCTTCCGAGCGAAGCTGCAGGACTACTTCAAGAGCGGGTATGATCGCGGACACATGTAAGACAAGCGCAATTTAGACTCTAGGCGCGGGCACTGACATTCATACTAGGGTCCCCGCCGCTGATGCAAAAATCTCCCAGGTGAGCGCATTTCGAACCCATGTTGAGACCAAACTCACAGCCCATTATTAGGTTGCAATGGACGAGACCTTTTTGCTCACAAACATTGCACCACAAGTCGGAGCTGGTTTCAATAGACATTGTAGCTTGTTCATAGTATTAATTTGGGACTTAAGCCTGACATGGACTTCGGCAGATTGGGCATACCTAGAGGATTGGTGTCGGCGCCTGACGTCTTCCTTCGCTGATGTCTACGTCTTCACCATTCCCCTTTATCTTCCCAAGCTAGAGTCTGACGGAAAATGGCGGGTGGTGAGTGCCGTGAATGCATGCCTCACTGCTGTCGACATTGACCGTCTTTGCAGAGCTATGAGGTCATCGGTTCGCCACCGAATGTCTCTGTGCCCACGCACTTTGCCAAAGTGGTGTTGACATCGAGACCATCTTCACCATCGACGCCCAATGTGGTAGAAATTTCCACAGGAGCCTTCGTATTGCCGAATGCGCCCATTCCAGATGAAGCGAAACTCGAGAACTTCGTCATGCCAAGTGAGTGAATACTGGCACACCTGCAGTCGTTATACGTGCTAACCTCTAGCAGTCGAAGCCGTCGAACGGGCAGCAGGACTCACGCTGTTCTCCGACGCGATCAAGCAGAATTCAAAACATATTTGCAAGACAACAAAATGCGAGGTCATCGTAAGGAGATTCGATGATGCACAAAAGCGGCCTGAGATGCGCAGAGCGATATCTGCTCCCCGATAGTACACACCTTCATTGCAGCAGTGTTCGTAACTGGGACCTATCTCATTACATCTAGATGGGAATGAATACTGCAAGAGCTAGTCGCTCAGAGATGCACGGTGGATATATTAAAAGTCTGATAGCATATCCCTAACACCGGACCAGTATTGCTGGTCGACTCGAGGTTGAATCTCCTCTTTTGTAAGCCAAGCGAAGTCGAGGATGTTCTTGCCATCTGGCCGAGCCTGGCCAGCCATGATATGGGCCTTGTAGAAGAACACGTATATCTGGAGCAGTATAAGAACGCAATTAGCGTGAATAAGAGATGCGCCTACCTGTGATGGCGATATTGAATCGATAGTGGGTTTGTACACGCCTATTGGATTCCGGCTCACGACCCATGTGTCCATATTGGGACCACATTCATCATGGAGGTCTCGTTCTGCAGCCTACATATTGCGAACATGAGAACATGACACGGGTAGACGTGTATAGGACTCACCTCATGCAGCAGTTCTCCTTCCCGAATGCCTCCTTGAGGGAATCTCCAAACATCCCGCCCTGACTGGTCCTTGCCTTGCAGGAGGAGGTACAGGTTGCGCTCCCCTTGTCTGTCCAGACTCCGCACATCACCCTTCATGTCTGCCTCGTGTATTCTCGGCATACACTCTTCTCCCGACTCAGTACTTACAACCTCCTCCACCATGCTCGGTGCCGTCGCCGCGGTAGAGTCACCGTCTAGTTCCTTGCCCTTTCCGAACCGCGGTCCACCAAACGCTAGCCGCTCGCGCTCCTTCTCTTCTTCCGCGAACTTGCCCTCGAGGAGTGAGCCCTGCTTGAAGTAGAAGTCGCCAGGGAACGGGTTGAAGAGCGCACGCTGGATCCGCGCGTGATAGGCATAGTAGGCGCGTTCGAATGGACTCGGTGTGCGGGTGATGATGGGAGAGCGGTTAAGGATCACGGCGGTATTGATATTCGGCTTGGACTTTTTGTGCCCAGAGGTGCCAGACGGGGCCGCGGTAGATGAGGGCCCGGCGGTGTCAGTGACGGTGGCTAGTGTCCGTGCACGAGCGCACAAGCACGTCGCTGGTCAAACGACATTCAGTCATTGAAGGCAGCAGGTATACGCGCTGCTCGACGTACCTCGTGCCTGTGCTCTGGAGGTGTTGAGGGCATTGCGGGCGAGCATTCCAGCGGACGGGCTGTAACGTTGTCGCCTTCCTCTTCAAGCCGCCGACAAAAAGTCCAGTGTCCATATACGCGTGTCACGTGTCCCTACGTCGTATGGTGGGCGCTCCCGCCGCCGTTGAGCAGCTGTTGAGACCACCACCGACGGCGAGCAACTGCTCGCTCTCCTCGCCCACCATGTCCATTTCGCTTGTGTCGAATGCATATCTTGATGAGAACTCAACGAAGATACGCTCGAAGCCCGTGCCATGGGAGGTGCAATCGTCGCGCGCAGTGTTCATTGCATACAAGCTCATATGGAGACACGCAGGGATATCAGCGTGCAGGGCTGATCACAGCCGACGAACTCACGCTCATCAAGAAAGTAGAACGCCAACCTAAGGCGAAGACTGAGTCATTGCTACTTTCTGACGGAGCGGCTTATGCGCACCTATACCTCCGCCTTCTAAAGAAACTGCAACGAGTCGACACTCAGCAGTGTATTCTGGTGCTCATTGCCGACGCAATTGCTGGTATGCGCGTTTTATGTGAAATATCTGCGGGTGACTGTAACGAGCTGTCAGATCATGATGAGCGCATCCCACTGTTTACTAGGACGCAGGAGCTTGATATTGACTTGCCATATGGTCCCCTCTTACGGTAAGGCAGATCACCTCCTCCAGCATGTATATGACTTATGGTGTCCTTAGAATGTTGGAGTCGCCGGACGACTTTGTTCAGCTGAAAGCAACTCACATACTCACAATACTTCTTAGGTCTGCATTTTATATATGCCATGCGTGTATGCGTCTCGACCTGACTAGACTTTCAGCTCCGAGTCTACGCCCATTCATTCACAACAGCTCCAACCTTTCATTACGTCTCTGGCATCGTTTGTCACGGGCAACACACCACACAAGCGAGACATCGCTGTACAGTGCCTTGAGGCGGTTCTCTCTCGGCCCGAGTTTCGCAAAGCTGCATGGCAAGATACGCAGCTCATTTCAGGGTGCGTTGCCACATCGATTACTCTGGATGTCCCCATGTAATACTTTGCTTCGCGCCTGAAGACTGGTTGATATTCTGAAGCATAACCCCGGTCCGCAAATGAGCTATCAAGTCGGCTTCTGCCTATGGCTGCTCACCTTTGAACAGGAAGTTGCGGAACAGATTAACAAGTACGCCACACAGATATGGCGAGATGCTGTGGAACTTATCTAATGATGCAATGCAGGAAGTACGATATCGTACCAGTTTTGACCAGTATCGCTCAGTCGGCCGTCAAGGAGAAAGTGATTCGCGTCATCGTGTCCACTTTCCGAGTTGCGTCATTTGACGAAGAATCATTTACCACTCAGATGGCTAACACGTTGTATAGAACCTGGTATCGAAAGCCCCATCCGCAAATCTCCCCTCAATGCTCGTCGTCCAATTACTTCCCTTTGCCCAGAATCTATGCACACGGAAATGGTCCGACGAAGACATTATGGAGGACGTGCAATACCTGAGGGACGAACTGAAGGCCAGATTTGAGAGCCTGACGTGAGTGTCAATATCTGCTCTCACACGTGCAATGTGTCTCAACTACTTTTGTCGTGCATAGAACATACGATGAGTATAGCTCAGAGCTCGTTTCGGGACATCTATCTTGGTCTCCTGTCCATGAGAGCGAGCTCTTCTGGAAGGAGAACGCTACCAAGCTAAATGACAATGACTATGCTCAATTGAAGTGCGGTGCCGCTCTTGAATCATTGTGTAGTCAAATCTCACGCGTATGGTCCGCAGGATCCTGATTCATCTGCTCAACGACTCAAACGACCCAGTTGTGCTGGCGGTGGCGGCGCACGACGTCGGACAATACGTTAAGTACTATGAACGTGGGAAGAAGTGAGTGATCCTGTCGATCATTATCCCTGTGTGCTCACTCTTCCAAATCATCTGCAGTGTGTTCACAGACGCTGGTGGTAAAACGCGTGTCATGGAGCTCATGTCGCACGAGAGTCCGGACGTTCGTTATCGAGCATTGATCACGGTACAGCGGCTTGTCAGCCATCCATGGAAAACCGTATAGCGAGTGACATAATTTATCGGATGAAATATAAGTTGCATGCGGCTCTCCCAGGCTCTACTTGTCTCGTGTATATGACAACGATGTTGCTCCGTACAGGAGCGGTCGTACCCGCAAATCTGGGGACATCGTCCGGCCATACGACGCAATGCCGATGGGTATGTGTGAACCAACAATCTTTCAATTTTCAATAGTGAATACTGGAAACTTGACATGAAATCAATTCACGCATCACTGCTACATTTACTCATGACAGACGCGATCAGTTAACGGAAGTCAGTTAACGGAAGGAGTGATCGGGGGCAGGAGTGGCTGGATATCGAAGTTGGCATTTGAGGCCAATAACCACGGGTAAGTGCCGTATTCGCCCTGTATACGTGATGAGTAGTGGAAATACTGCGACTGTGGTGCACCGCTTACGATGAGCGTGTTTGGGAAGCCCTTGTCGAATGGGAGAATGCCGTCTAAGTAGGAGATCTGTTCTCGCGTCAGGCTGATTCCAAGTGCCTCAACGTTGTCCATGAGGTGTTCCACTTTGCGTCCGCCCACGATGGGGAAGACGTAGGGCGCTTTGTGCATTGTGTACGCAATAGCGACTGTAGAAGTTATTTCAGCGCAAGGTGCAGTTCTAAGTGGGTATCTAGCATACCAGCCGTGATGTTCTTCGCTCCGACTTGCTTTGCGACAACCACAAGGGCGTCGCACATTTTTTTTTCGTCGGGCGTGCGCTCCCAGGGACCCATGACGGTGCGTCCCTTCTCCCCGGTTTGGCGTCGCCGCTCTTCTTCCTCGTCCGTCCGGATGTGCCCGCTGGCGAGGACACCCCACATGGTGAGTGCCATGCCTGATGATGCACACTCTGTGAGTTGAATGTACTGGTCAGGCGTACGGTACGTGCACCTTCGTGTTGACACATTGGTAGCACGTCACGCTCGATATCACGCTGCAAGACAGAGTACATAGCCTGATAGACGACGAAGGGCGTCTTGCCATGCGACCGTGCGTATGCATTCGCCTTCGTCACGAGCCACGCCGGGGTGTCCGAGATGCCCTGTACTTCTAATCAGACTCCTTCAGGTCACCGGGCAATGCGATACCCACGAGGTAGAGGACCTTGCCGGCGGTGACAAGGTTGTGCAGGCCGTCCATGAACTCGTCGATGGAGGTGTGCAGGTCCCAGTAGTGCACATACAGGATGTCGATGTAGTCTGTGCGCAGGCGCTTCAGGCTTGACTCGACGCTGAGCCGCAGATTCTTGAGGTTGTTCCCGACAAAGTTGACCTTCTGCTTCACTTCCTCATTGGGTGCCTTGAACATGTTGGTGTACTATCATCATCTCCGCCAGTGAGTGAGTTCGTGTGGCGCACAAAAACCACTCACCTTCGTAGCGATAATCAGCTGGTCACGAATCCCCCTGGCCTCCGCCCACTCACCAATGAATTCCTCCGATGAGCCGCTTTGACTGTGGATCGAATATTATTAGCGGAATCATCGCACCCTCGAATGTCGGCTACGCACTAGTTGCTCGCGGTGTCGATAAAATTGCCGCCCGCGTCGAAGTAGGCATCGAGGAGCTTGAACGAGGACTCCTTGTTCATGTCGCCCATTCCGATCGCATGCCACTTGTCACCGATATTCATTGCACCCAGGCAGAGCGGGGAGACATGGATTGCGGCACGGGGCGCGAACTGACGATAGCGGCCGAGCTTGGTCGGCGGTAGCGGTGCGGCTCCAAATAGAGACATTTTGCTAAGGTCGTGCGGTGAGTGCGAGCGTGCCCTTGCTAAAGTGAAAAGCTGAGTTGCAGTGTCTAGCCTATGTCACGAACATGCTTTTAAACGAGAATACCTAGAGGAGCGGTCCGCTGACCTAACGCTATCGCAGCATGAGAATTGACATCATTCTGATGCTGAGGTTCGTGTTTGGGCTCATTGAGCCGTAAGACTGGGATCAAGCTTGTCCTTGTGTCTGCCGGTGTACGCCTCATCCCTCGGCACCAACGCCCCTCAGATCCTATGCGGTGTCCGTGTGGGCGGCTTCAGGCGATCTCGGAGTTTCATGGGGGTGTCGGTTGAGACTAGGGTCAGTTGATCGACTTCGATTGCGTAATAGGCGGATTCCTACGGTCAAATCGTCCAGGAAGCCCAGAGCTCGGACAAGTGCGTGGTCTCAGTCATATGCTTGGGCTTGTTCCACTCATTTCGATCATAATATATCAGGCTGTGAGCTACATAGTAGTGACAATATTCCGTGTCAAATTTGAGGCAGAAACCAAAGGGGAATTATTGCAACTCAATATATACAAATGTTCAGCAAAAGGACAGACCATGAAGTGGTTTCAAAATCTAACAGTATTGTATTGTTCTTTGTTTGTACCACATACACATAAACCTCAATTCCAATCACACCGGATGGGAGCACGTACCTGAGATAAAAATACCAGTATGCTTATCAGGGCGATAATTGAATCCAACCAATCAACATTGGCCTCCGCGTAAGTTCGGCGATTCCGCGAATTTGAAGGAGGGCCGCAGCACACCAAGCGGTCGTCGGTGAGTTCGTCAGTATCACCATGTCCAAACATGTTATGTGTAGGAGTTTAGAGGAAGCACCCAGTCTGTTCTCAGTTTGGAAGAATATGTACCGTTCTCAATCTGACAATAGTACGCAGGCAGTCTGGAGACACCGACAGCAAGATTCCTCTATGCCGGTGTTTTTAAAGTAGGTATCAACGCGATCCCAGGTCAAGTATTAAATACGTACAGTTGATCCAAAGTCCTTCCACAGCGGTGAAGATATTTTACAGACTTATGCGAACTATCAAACCTTGCAAGAAAACGAGACCCCTCACACGAGTGAAGCTTTTATCACCCCCTGTAGACCCTGAGTAACACAAAGGAACAAAATGCCAACATGCCAGCGAACACGTAGAACACACGACCTTCCTTCTCGGGGTCGCCTTGCGACAGCACGTTGCGCAGGGGAAGAAAGACGAGCCCGACGAGGAAATTCGCGATCCCTGTAGCTCTCATCAGCGCGGCTTCATGGGTCAACTCTAGCAGATGGCAACTCACAGTTGAGCGAGAGTGCGACGGACGAGAGCGCGGAAACAGCCTGTGGGGCGCAAAAATAGGAACGCCAGCGTCAGTATGAACGTGTACCCGCAAGAGGAAGCCGGGCACCCACGTATTGCGGCGAGACCTCTGATATCATCACAAACGGAACCGGCCCTATGCCAATCGCGAATGACCTGCGGGATACATGAGGAGACTTGAGCTGATAGGAGCGGGAATATATAAAGTGACGCACGCGATGAAAGTCAAGATCGTAATGCTTGCTAACGTAACGGCCCCCACATCGAGCCCGAAGCCGACACCAAGAAGCGAAAGGAGAGCGCCGCACGCCGAGAGCGACAGCAGTTGCTTGCGGCCGATTCGCTGGAGGTGGGTGATATCGTGTTACATGTGCTTACGGTGCGTAGGGAGGGGAAAGGTACTTACGTCAATGAGGACGATAGGCGCGGCAGTCATGAAGAAATTGACGATGGTGATGCCGAGGGAAACGTACGGCCCAAGGTCAGGCAGCGCCTTCGACAGGATGTCATTGCTATAATAGAGGACTACGCGAGCGGTGAGCACGGCTCCACTACCAGGTGTATCCAGTCTCTCTGACCTGCATTGACACCTGTGGACCGGTCGTCAGTTCTGGCACTACACGAGCAGAGCGCGCAGTAAAGATCACGTACCGGAGAGCTGCTGCACAAGCATCGAGAAGCAGACGATGGTGAGGGGCCGACGGAGTTCGGGCGCAATCAGCAGCTGTGGGACGGATAACGTTGCCTCGTGCGCGTCGTCCGCCTTCGCAGGTGTGATCTCACCAGATTCGGGGTCATCTGCACTCAGAAGCGGATCCTGGCTGTCGTAGTTCGGCACTGGTCCAACAGTCGTTAGTCTCATATGCTCTGTGGCTATGGGCTAAGAAGGACTGCTGACGTTCAGAGCTTCGTGGTCCCTGTGCACTGTGCCATATGCGGCGCGCGGCCTTATCCTTTTCAAGAAGAAGTCCGTGCCGATCGAGCCAGGTCGGCGATTCGATCATCGAGGGGCTAACGAGGAGTTGTGCGACGGCCAGGGCGGCAGAGAAGATGAGCACGATGCGCCATTGGCGGGGCGTTGCAAGCTGGAGCCCCATGCCTTGGGTCACCATGATACCGATGACGATCGCAAATTGTGTGAGTACGCCTGAACAGTCCAAACCGTGTGCTCTTTAGTGGGAGGATATGCTACTCGTGAATAAGCGTACCGACGGCCCCGCGCTTCTGAGGAGGAGCAATCTCGGAGAGAAAAATGGGTCCTACGCAGAGACCAACGCCAGCTCCTATTCCCGTGAGCATGCTGCGCACACCTGTCAGACGTCGTTGTATGCGTGGCTTCTAGACTTTGGCTTACCGTCCAATGGTCAATGGGAACAGGGACGCAGATACCGCCATTAGACCTGCACCGGTAGCAGTCACCAATGAACTGCAGCGCGATGCGCCCTTGCGGCCCCAGCGGTCCATAAGGACATTCGCGCCCAAGCTTCCAATGAGACCACCGACGGTGTAGACAGAAGTGAGGAGAGAGAAAGTAGCGTCTGACATGGGAATGCATGTCGGCAGACCATAGTACACCGTGGGGCTGTCTAACGAAGGCCCAGCATCACGGCAAGTGAGAACGGCCTGTATTTGATTGAGAGACGAGATATGGTAACCATACTGGGACAAATTGGGTCACTCCATAATGACCGAAAGCCAAGGTCATATCTTACCTGTAACCTATGTTATCACAGCACATACAATCAGGCAGACGACAAGCGCACCTGGAAGGACACCACCAAGATCCATGCGCACGCAAACCAGCCGTACTTCGTGAAGGCTTGCGGTTCGTGGATGTTGGCCATGGCCGAGACCTGCTGAGGGGGATGCTGGCTATCTTATGATGTTCACTGCTATACGGTCTCTAGTCAAGGCTCGGGTCGCTAAAGCTGTACTCTCAAGTGAGGTTGCTGCGGTACTGACTGCCGCCGCAGTCGGTGGCTTGGGCAAGTCGCGCCGACGGCGCGAGTGCGTCTCTGTCGCGTAACGTCACAGATCACGAGACCATCATCAATCCCACCCGCGGGCTGCGCAAAATGCAAAATGTTGTCAGTTGTCGATGTCTTATGTCGACATAAGTTGTCCCCTTCGGGGTGACATACGAAAAAATTGGAACGATACAGAGAAGATTAGCATGGCCCCTGCACAAGGATGACACGCTTTCCCGGAGTGGTAGACCTACGGGTCTCAATATTTATTTTATGCCCGCTTGCCAAATTCGACAGACTCCTGCAAGAATCTCGCCCTGGTCTCGTACCAAGTTGTCCCAATTCCGGACGCGGGCCACAAAGCTAATTCTCGTGAAGCTACTGCAGTGATTGATCGCACGCATCATGTACGCTTATTCAGTTGATTTCATCACCCTTAAGCTCCTCAGGTCTCATGCTTTCTGGTTGTCCCCCATGTCTCATCCCACCATCTGAATTCAACTATCTAAATTACTCCGTCATGGTCTACGTTACATTGGCTGCTATACGGATGGCGTTGTAGGCGTTTGTCGAGTTGTAGGTCCAGTGTGACCCTCAAGTCCGACTCACTATGCTGACAAGACTAGAATTCGACCACTCCGACTCGATATATCATTTCGAAGACACGAGATACAAATAGAGCAACTAATATGGCAATCGAGGCAAGGTGATCACCAGGCAAAAGCGGAGTCCCACCGCGCTGTAAACTGCATACACGCGAATCGCAGCTCGTATCTATCTACTGAAAGCAAATATGAGTCCATGATTTCTTGGTGGTCGATTTTATCAAAGGCGCACCTTAGACGACACAGAGGTAGGAAACCCCAGCGCTGTGCTGGACTGTGTCAAACCAACTGTCGATGTGCCAGGTAAATCCATTGGCCGTGGCGTTGTCTGCACGGACCCTGAGGCGCAGGTTGTGATCGCACTTGATGTCAAACTCGTTTCTAAACAACATCTCTTCAGGTCAGACATTCCCATGGTGGCAAATCAAGAGGCTCTCACCTTGAATAAATCAAACGGGAATTGAACCCGACCACTGTTCTCGAGCTGAGGCCTGTCCCAAGGACGGATGTCCATCGTGTTCGCGGTGCCGCTGAAGACATACTCGCGGTCCTCGGGATAGGCAATCTATCCAGTGGCAGCCCCGTAGAGGACGGTACCACCCCAAGTGTCGATGTGGATGGTGAAGCCTCTGGCGTCGATATCACTGGCGTAGGTTTTCGCCCTCCAATCGCAATCTTTGTGAATGTCAAGCATGTTGAAGAAACAGATGATCTTTGGAGGGGTGACAAAAGGACGCGAGAAGTCGATGCGACGTTGAGTAGTGACCCAGCTTTGGCTGGGCGGGCGGTCCTCTTCGGTGGAGAACCGACCGCACTGGTATTCGAGGTGTGCAGGGCTGATGACGAACCAATTGACGCCACCAGAGTGAAATGTGGTGGGCCCCTACGAATCGAGGTGAACGGTGAAAGATTCCCTGGATATGTTCGTGGCGTGAGCACTGATGCGGATGTTAGCCGCGCAGCTTATATCGAGCGAGCTTAGGCCCAATGCGAGCTGGGGGACAGCAACGAAGGGTCGATTAAAGACAACCGAGCGGGAGTTGAGAAGTGCGGGCTGTTCATGGGAGCGGACCTCTCTAGTGTGGAATTGACCTGTGATGGACATGAGGGTACAATACAGAATAGCGATGAATGGCTGGACTGGTTGGTGCTAAGGTCAAGCGAATATAATCACTCCGAAAAAAACAGTTATATCTGAACCCTTGATGAAGATAAGTAGTTTTCAGCGACTTGTAAAGACCGACCGACAGCGTACAGATTCCATGTACGCCGCGCCGTGAGAACAATGGGCTCACGGCAGAAGATATAGCAGCTGACTGAGAAGCAAGGTCTAGACTCACAAACATTGTGCTCCAGCAGCGGACTTTGTGATCTTTGAAACCTTGTGGCAAGAACGAAGTGCATTTGGTAGGAGAGCCAGCGATTATCGGTCACAATCTTGGCACGTCATGTTCATGTGCAAATGCACCCGAGACGCGCGCTCGAACATGCGACACTAAGCAGCGAGCACTGCAAATCATTCTGACAGTGTCCATGACTTATCCTCTTCATCTGGTAGACGTTTAAGTCTCGCCACGATGGATCATGATGACAACACGAACAATGTTAGTAAAATCAAGCGAGACGGACTACGGCTAGCCGATGATGATCACATGGAGGCGATATGTGGGAGATGCTGAAGGCGATATGGAAGACGTGTAGAATCGAGTGTCAAACGTCTCAGCGGTCTGTGGATAAATATTAATGCATATATACATCCAGCCGAGAGCGGCACTTCTACAGCGGGATTGCAAGCAGCGAATAGACCACCCTGAAAGAACCAATTCACCGTGACTTTGCAAGCTCACGAAGAAAATGGTACAAGTGCTAGATGGTCAGTGATACAGTAATGTGGATCAATTTATGATTTTGAAGCGCATGTTGGTTTCCCCTACCGGCAGCGTATCAGGATCTAATGCAGAATACATGTATTGGGCGCTGATACGCCTTTCTTGAGCCGGAGGGTACTTATCCCGAGGACCACGTAAAGGTCTGCGCCAGGACGAACATAAATGTTCGTCCTTCCCTCGGGGGACTCACCTCGCTATGTTCGTACGGCTGTTTCATGGGCCGGCAGTGTGCGGATAGGAGACTCCACTAGAGACTTGATAAGGCCAAAGCTGGAGGGCGATCAAGGAAGCGGATGGCAGCAGAGACGTGAGGACATACGGAGGGGGAGAAGGGAGGACACGATCCTAGCAAGCGAAAACATTCAGTCTTGTGGAGTCATTAGAAAGATCCACAGCAAGCTCACTTTGACGGCGACTGGCCGACGTACTTAACGATCAGCAGAAAGTGTGGATGCCTCTCTAAATGCATCAGTGGTCGAAGAAGCTGTGGGCAGAGCATTCAGCGAGAAAGGCGTAACAATCGCACCTTGTGCCGTCGCCTTAGCTTGACGCAGGCAACAGACGAATGGAACTAAGAACCTATAGGCAGGGTTAGTGCATTCAACGAATTATGAAACTCACCGTCTGTTGATGTTGAGAACGGTAGTATTTGTATGGGTCGGGCCGATCACACCTGAAGACGGCGAGTTAGCTAAGATATTTCATGGAAAAAAACACCACTCACCGTTCACGCACGGGTGTAGAACATTTGTGAAAGTGTTAGCCAAGTTCGAGAATAGTGACCAGCCACAGAATAGCCAGGAGAAAGTCACGCAGTAAAGCAGCGAGAAAGAATCAGCAGAAGCAGATGAGAAACATCGGTAGCACACAACGAATCAATCGCACTCAGCCAGCCAGTAATGGAGTCGAGAGGGAGCGGAGAAGCCAGCCGCCGAAGCCCAGAGTGGTCGTGCATGTCGGTAGCGTAGAGCAGCCTCAGAGTAGCTAAGCACAGCACAGAGACGAAGCGAGAACGGCGAGAGACAGGCGAACAGGAAGCAGACGCAGACAGTCAATCGGCGACCAGGAAGCAGACTAGTAGCCAGCTGTACCCAGAAGTTGCCAGAGATGCTGAGCGTCAGATGAATCTGCACAGGTATGATACAGTTCGAGCACTGACCAGAGCCTGTACCCACATTCAACCTCGGACCGCCGCAGCTGTCGAATTTGCTGCCTAGCATATAGTCTCCTTGATGGGAACTTGCCGCCGCCTTGAAATTGTGGCGAATGTCAGGACTCGGTGTGCGATGTGTGTGGCGACTGGCTTACCTCGACGCAGCACACCGCCACAGTATGGAGCCGTGGGGCCGACTTTGAGGAGACAGGCCAGAGCAGACAGAAGGTGTGATGGACAAGCTGAAGCACACGCTGAAGCACACAGCACAAGCCCAGAGAGTATGCGAGTCAAGCACAGCAGCAGTAGATGTCGTAGACCGAAGCACAAGGTCGCCAGAGGTCGAGAACAGACTTGTGGCTTGGACCAGGTGGACAATGTGGCGTAGAGACGAGACATGAAGAAAAGGAGAACAAATGGGCGAGCAGCATAGTGAGAACGATAACACATGAAGGAGGATAAGGTAACAGGCAAACGCAAGCACATGAGACAGCAGCCACAACGGAAGAACATGAAAGAGCAGACAACAAATGATCAGAGACTTAGCGATGATTCAGACGACTTGAGGTGTTGTATCTAGTTGAGCAGGGTATCTGGAGGGCGGAGACACTGGCACAGAGGAGTGGGTGAGGGAGGAAGATTAAGAAGGGCGCAGAAATGCGGGTCGTTTTATACTCTCGGACCAAGGTCTGTTCGACCCACGAGGCGGCAAGTCGCGGGCCTTGGCCCTCGGTTCTCCGTTATCCACTGAT